TGTTCATAATAACTGGCCAGGTGTATCCTCCACCTGGCATTGGTGTTTACTGTCATCTAGACTGAAGTGATAGAAATGTCAATCGTTAGTTGGCAGCAGTGAACAAAAGTGAGTTGATATTGATGCAATCACATGGTCACCAATGAGTACTCTAGTGGTATTAGTCATCATTTATGCAGCAGGGGCTTAAACATTCTGATTTTTTTGTTTCTGATCAGCTCCAAAAACATTGGATTCTACATTTTCTATAATGCATTTCTGATTAAAGCCCACATCTTTTACACTTAGAGTTAACAAGGATCCTACAGAGTCCCAGAAAACTACTCTTCTACTAGCACTACTCTGCCTGTGAAAACAGGCAGAGTAGTGCTAACAATAACAGTTTTGCATGGTCAGTGTAGTGTCCCTTTAAGACTGGAAGACATCTGGAAACAAATGTACAGAACAGGAAAGATTCTATCACTATTAAAACAAGACATCAGAGTGTCTGCATGTAAATTTAATGCCCATTTCACTAATCTATTTAAGTCGACATGGTAGTATCTTGTGTCTCTTTCTCTGTAATCTAATGATGTAGAGCTTCAGGTCCTGGGTGATGATTTTTGAAGTAGTTTGTACACATATTTCCTTTTTTGATACTTTGATACTTCCTTTTTTCCACTTGATAAGATGCCGTGGATCCTCAAAATAGTGCCCTCCTGATTTGGATAAATGGAATGAAATTATACTTCAACATGCACACTCAACCATCAAGTCCACTGCAATATCCAAAACCATCTGTCCACGATTATTGTTTGTCATGTAACAAACAAACACAACCTATCCAGACTTATAACACACAGACACACGTGACATGCTCTTTATGGTGGACCCTCAGGGAGATGCCATCTGGAAGAAATCTAGCATCAGGTCAGAAGTACACACACACACACACCGACACACCACAGAGTAATGTTTTCATCATTCTATTTAAAGCTCTGAATCAGCTGGGTGAAGTAGAGCGGAGCAGAAAATGTGCAAAAAACACTCACATTTGCACACAAACACTTGTAAACTGACTTTTTCCAACGCACACCCATCATTACATGGCCTCTCACACAGTCCTTCTCCATGGAGTTCTTTTGTTGATTAAAAATATGCATGTACCCATGTGTGCATATGTAGCCTCAGACAATATACTGCTCATTCTTTCTGCTGCTAAAATAAGTTTTGAAGTGAACTCAGACCATGAAGCAGGCAAGATGAAAATAAACTCTGCGTTCATTAGAAACAATAGCTGGCGAAGCTCGAGAATTGATTTCATTTCACAACCACATTCCTAGCTCATTAAATCAACAGCAAAATACACCTACGCATATGAATTCATGACAAACAATGAAGGTCAGCTGTGAAAAACTAACTTTCTTTGGGCTATTCAGTCTTTTATTAGTGAGTGTTGAAGGAGATAGTGGACATAACTGCAGCTACATACATTACATAATTTCCATTTGTGACAGGTACACACATATTTGTATAGCTGTCTTTATAAGGATATAATGCATTTCCTCACTCCTTACCCTAACCTTAATAGTGACAAGACCTCAACTGCTTTGTTAAAAGTGTATGTCTCATATTGTCATGGCATATTAGCCCATTCCTTTCTGATTGGTTCAGGAGCATTTCTGAGACTGTTGGAAAGTCTACCAGTCCTCCTATCTCCTATTTGTTCCAGTAAACGCCTTTGTCTGTCCACAGGAGCAAGTGCAGGATATCCTGGAGTTTACACACCGAAATACTCAAGCTCTACATACACAATGCACCTCTCACAGTCAGGCTAACTAAAGACTCTCCATTATGCTAGCTGGCAGAATGTTTAATTCAACCCTAAGACATGTAATGCCGGCTCATCTGTCCTCCAAATCCACACACCATAGTCTTCACAGACCTCTGATGCCCCCTCTTATCGTTTCTGTTACACATTCTGTCTCAGTGAAATCAAGCGCGGTCACTGGCCGGAAATCGTCTCTACAAAGGGAGTCAAAAGGCCACACTGAAGGCAGTAGAAAGCTGGGCTCAACAACTGTTCAAATGATTTTTCACCAGCTTTCAGGCACTGAAGAGAACATTTTTAAGGTCACAAATGAAAATTAAACCAAATTTTATTTTATTTAAGAATGTGCACCATACATGTTCAGAATCAACTGGGTTTTTCTCACAGACAGGGTCTCAGACTTACAGTATGTAGTAACACAGAAGCCTCAGTCAAATTAGAATTCATATGAATTTTGGCTATGTAATCAGTTCCTGGGACAATATTACTCCTTATGTTGGTTTGCTACTCTGTACATTATTCTGTGATAGTATTTTATGGAGCACTGAAGTCAGAGGACTACAGTGAAGCATGGTGGTGGCAGCATCATGCAGCATCATACTGTGGGGATGTTTTTCAGTGGCAAGAACTGGGAGCCTAGTCAGGATCGAGGGAAAGATGACTGCAGTAATGTACAGAGACATCCTTGATGAAAACCTGTTCCAGATCACTCTGGACCTCAGACTGGGTGCATCTTTCAACAGGACAACGACCCTAAGCACACAGCCAAGATAACAAAGGAGTGGCTATGAGACAACTCTGTCAATGTCCTTGAGTGGCCCAGCCAGAGCCCAGGCTTGAACCCGATTGAACATCTCTGGATAGATCTGAAAATGGCTGTGCACCAATGCTCCCCATCCAACCTGATGGAGCTTGAGAGGTATAGCAAAGAAAAATGGGAGAAACGGCCCCAAAATAGGTGTGCCAAGCTTGTAGCGTCATACTCAAAGACTTGAGGCTGTAATTGGTGCTAAAGGTGCTTCAACAAAGTATTGAGCAAAGGCTGTGAATGTTTATGTACATGTGATTTTTTTATTTCCGTTTTTTATTTTTAATAAATTTGCAAAGATTTCAAACAAACCTTTTTCACATTGTCATTATGGGGCATTGTTTGTAGAATTTTGAGGACAATAATGAATTTAATCCATTTTGGAATAAGACTGTAACCTAACAAAATGTGGAAAAAGGTAAGAGCTGTGAATACTTTCTGGATGCACTTGTAGGTCAACTAGCTTCTACAAGCCCAGTTCTAAAAAGGTTGGGACACTGTGTAAATTCTAAATAATAAAAACAGAATGATATGTAACTGTTTTAAAGCTCATAATTAAGTGGAAATAGTAGAAATACCAAAAAAAAATCTGCTCATTTTAAATATGAAGCCAGCAGCACATTTCAAAAAGCTGGAACAGTCACAGGGACATGTTTCACAGGAAAACAGGTCCCTCTTTTTTAACAACACTTGGGAAGCATCTGAGAACTGAGCAGACCAACTGTGTTAATTTTGAAAGTGAAATGTTTCCCTGTTCTTGCTTGATATAGGATTTTTGTTGCTCAACAGTTTGGAGCCTCCTTTGTCATATTTCTCACTTCATAATGCACCAGATGTTTTCACTGAGTGACAGATCTGGACTGCAGGCAGCACAGTTTAACACCCGGACTCTTATTATGGAGCCATGCAGTTGTAAATGTGCAGAATGTGGTTTGGCACTGTCTTGATGAAATAATCAGAGCCTTCACTGAAAAAGACATCACCTGGATAGCATAGTGGCAGCATAGTGTCTTATTCTAAAATGTATATATATTGTTCAGCCTTCAGAGCTGTGAAAGATATCCATGCCATGTGCACTAATGCACACCCCTGCCATTACAGATGCTGACCTTTGCACTGTGAGCTGACAACAAGCCTTCTCCTTCTACTCTTTAGCCCAGAGGATGTGACATCTATTATTTCCAAAATCATCAGACCACAGGACAGTTTGCCACTCAGTCCATCTTAAATCATTTTGAGCCCAGAGGTGGAGGCGGTGGCATGTCTGGGTCATGTTTATATATGTTCTTTCTTTGCATGCTAGGGCTGTAGGGCTTTGCCTGCTAGGTGCAGCAACAAAGCATTCCCACTACAGAATCATATCTGTTTTAAGTGCAGTGTCACCTAAGAGCCAGACTAAACAATCATGCAATGACTCATATTCATTTGGTACTGTTACCATAGGAATATGGGGTAAAAGAGGTTTTCAAAACATTTAATTCAATTCAATTAATACAATTTACACAGTGTCCCTATTTTTTGGAATTTGGGTCATACATTCTGACTAAATACAAATTTAAAGTCCTTAATGCTGAAATACTGTAAATAAGAAATACTGACACTTTAAATTACTAATGCTTGCTAACACTGTTTGACTGTTTGGCTCACAGCAAATCTGGCCCTGATAAGCCGTGAACCATTTTTTCATACACAAGAAGTGTGTGAAGACTTCTGAGGCTTCAGTTTTTGTCATGCTGCATATGACCAAACAAATGAGCAATTTATCAAATTACCACAAAGTCTTCTACACAGAAAGCTTGGGGCCTTCATGCTTTGCTCATTTGGTAATCCAGCCTTGGGTGCACACAAGCAGGACTACATGCCTGCTGAGAAATCATGTATGTCACACTTTCAGAAACTCAAAAAACATCTCTTCGCCAGAGTGAAATTTTTCAATTATACTTTCAAGTAGTTCATTCTTACATGATCACTGTATGGTTGTACAGACAAAGGCAAATAAAATGCCATGCTAGGAGGCTACCAATAAACAAGCCTTCTTCACTTGTTTGTTGCTGCATTTGAGCAGTTTGTCTACGTGCTGCAGAGATGTTTGACATGTCAAAGTAAGTAAACTCAGAAAACTTTGATATTTCCACCTCTGCCAAACATACGGGGATAATGCCTGTAGTGACCTAAAGTATGTTTGCTAATGTGTGGACAGACAGAAGAAAGTGGACAAGAGGCACTTTTTGGTTTAGGAAAACTTTAACGGAACTCTGAGTGAGAGTTCATGCACTTCAAAAGCTCATGTTATAGTAATGTAAACACATACTGTATGCAGCCCCAGCATGGTTTGTGTGTGTGTGTGTGTGTGTGTGTGTGTGTGTGTGAGTTTCTCCTCACCTGGGCCATGGTGTTCAGCAGATGACTGGCTGGCTCCTGGTCTTCAGCATGGCTTGTGAAACCTCAGGTTGTAGATGATGGTTTCACTTCTCACTCTCTCTCTCATACACACAAACCTTAGTGTCCTATTTTGCTGGTGTGTTGCAAATCCACACACTCACACACATCACCTCCTCTTCCTTCTCATCCTGTGTGACAGCACCATCCTCTGGAAAGCTCACTCTTGGTAAAACAGTTCTCCTTTCTTTTTCTTACCCTTTTTATCACTCTCTTTGTGACTACATTCTGTATGTGGACATCTTTTCTTTCTTTCCAACAGATACAGAGGGAGAGAGTATGTCAGAGGAGCTTGTATCTCTTGATTTCTGCCCTGCACTCCTGCCTTCCCTTTTCAGTATCTGGTTGGTTGTAATCTGGGCTCACACACTGCTCCCTGTCTTTCCTTTTCCACTTGCTCTGCTCTCTTTCTTGGCTGTTTCCCCCTCCCCCTCCTTCCTCCACTCCTCTAA